AACATGCCTTTGAAAGTTTTTTAGCTCTCGTGATGTTTCTTGATATTTCTTTTACCATTTTATGAAGATGTTAACTGAAGTCACCGCAAAATGGAAACTTAAAAAAGCGTATAATCCATTTATCTCGAAACATAACACACAATTGACTTATACGACCTTTATTTTCGTCAAGGTGTTTTGAATACGAACGAACACAGTCAATGTGAGGGGCAAAAACAGCATTAATATAAATGAACCATAGGGTTTTAACTAATATAAGGGTCAATTATTGTGCATTGAGATGAATCGCTTGAAAAGAGAGACTTCGCTTGAAGATGTGATCAGAAGTAAACAAAGGCATAGTAGTGCGTCACGTTCAGTCTTTTTAATATCCAAGGAGTCACTGTGAATAGTGTTTCCATATTGTTTAGCTGGCACAAAAACGTCGGACGAGTTATAAAGCGGCATAGTTATCTTCCATGAAGAAAAGTTCGTCTTGGGTGAGACAAACAGAACTGGAGCGAATTTTTAACTCGCATCGGTATCAGGTAAAAATTATGTTATCGATCGTTTCATCTATTTTAATACATTGTTTGAAGTGCGTGCTGGTGAACGCAACATGCGAGCGAGAAGTCTTTAAACTTTTTTAGGTCTCAAAATGCAAAGGATTTTATTCCTTTAAGTTAGAGAAAAATACCACGAGGAAAATCTTAAAACTGAATATTTTTCTTCTTGTGGAAAAAATAGTGCGTTTTCTTGTAGACTGTGGACCGCAAATTAGGATCGCACTTTTCACAAACATGCGAATTCCGAAGTTCAGAAGCCAACCGACGATTGCGTTTTTCGCTGCTGTCAATCATCTTAACGGACCTCTTAGGAAACAAAACTCTACTTCACGGGTTCAAAAGGTCATGGTTTGTGATTTGTTGATTTCGATCCGTTTTGTGTGTTTCTCTGTTTCAAGGTTCGTTGCTTTTGATCGTAATTATGATTGACGGCAGCGATAAACACAATTGTGAAGGTGGCTTTTGAACTTTAGAGTTCGCATGTTTGTGAAAAGCGCAGTAAAGTCTGCGTGCAGTCAGTGAGGCCCCTGGATCAGGCGGGATCAATGGGCAGTGAACTGTCTGTTTTAGTATACTTCTGGTTTTCATATAATACAATATTTCTGTCTAGTGTAAATCAGCTCATTATACTCGTAGAACGACAACAATTTTTGGAATTTCCAGTTACGTCAAATTAGTCACGTTATACTGTCACGCTATATTTTGGGGCACAGAGGGATTGGGGGAGGGGTACGTGGAAATAATGCAAATTGTTTCCTGCTTAGAATTAATGGCTAACTTGTCTATTTTATTCATAGTGGTGGAATTTAAAAGTTATTATACAGCCCCCACTTAAAAATGGTACCCTTTTTTTTGGGTTACGAAAGTCTTTCAAAAGGGTACAATGTTTTGAATGAGTTTATGTTTCAGTCTCACATGAGGTTCTGTCGCATGCAATGGTTCCCGACAAGGTTTTATGGTAGCATGAGTTTGTATAGCCGCCCCCTCCCCTCAGAAAAAATAGCCCCTTGGCAGCCCAGTTAAAAATCGCTTTTCGGCGATTCTGGTTTCTCTATAAAAGGGAGGGTGTTATAATATTGTAATTTTCACGCCCTGTGTTGAATTTCATTTGCACGTGCTGATAGACTTATTATATATTCAGTTTCGTTTGTACCTTCGGGGCACTTGATAGAGATTAAAATGTCTGTTCAGTAACCGCTTGAACGTGTGGCTCGCTGTGTTATCACAGCCACGTTCCCTTAAAATAAATTGCATTAATTAACGCTAATCGCGTATCTTGATTAACACTTCCGGGACGGAGGAAGCCCTTTATTTTCCTGGCGGTATTCTTTTCAACCCAGTTGTTAATCTCCTTTCTCGCCTCCTCTGAACTCCATTTGAAGTCGACTTTTGCAATGGGAGAATTATAAAATTCCAAGGAATTCTCTTTAAATTCAGCTGTCTCCTCCAACTCATTGTGTCCCCAGATTTGATTCGCGATCTTTAGCTCCAAATTGTCATGTCCCGTTTCGAGAATTGCCTCCTGTAGAGATTTTAAAGCTAAGTGTACATCTTCATACTCGTGTTTATACCACTTATAAGCCTGGGCAATTTGTCGCGCACTGTTTCCTCTACTTCCAAAAAAACCATGGCGATAGAAAGCGAAATGCTGGTCGGAGAGTAGAATAAGTTCTCATCTTTCAGTTTCTGATCTTCGCTGAAAATCTTTAACAGATCGAAACCAAAATCATTAATGCTTTCGATAATGTGTCCTACATTGTCATTATAATGTAGTTCGGACGAAACTAAAACGATAGATAACAGAGAGAAAATAATCCGAAACAGAATCATCTCTACGAAACACGCAGAGGTCTGTACTTCATGTAAGCCTTACGTATAATGTCCAGAGACATAGATGGCTTTAGTCACAGTGGGCGTATTGTGGTTCTAGTTCTACTAGCTGTTGGAATTCCTGTGGTCGTTGTAGTTCTTCTGGTTCTTGTAGTTGTTGTAGTTATAGTAGTTATTGTCATTGCTATAGTTATTGTAGTTACTGTAGTTGAGACACTGAGGATTGTGTGACATGTGACACTACTAAGGAAGGCTTGGATTGGTGTCAGCTGCTTATGTGTATATTGTTACAACCAAGTATATGTAACACAGGCTAGCGTGACTAATGTGTCTTCGATCGAATAGAGTGCATAGAATGGCATAGAACAATATTGTCTACTGTAAATGGTTGATTAATCACCGTGGCACTTATTTCATTTTCCCTGTCATAGGTGCGGCGCTCACCTTAAATGAGAGTGGCACTCATTCAAGAGTGGCGCTCATTTCAACTACGGGTAAAACACTGAGGTGAATATAGACAGAATTAAGTGAGGTGCATACTGGGTATGCACAATTTAATATAAAATATGTACACCTTGAACTGTTATATGAACCCAGTTTCAAGAGTTGAGTTTCCCTACCTTAAAACTTTAGAACTCACTAGTTGGATGGGGTCTTATTTCTCAAGCGATATGGTTTTTATATCTCTTTAGATCAAGTGCTGTATAAAAGGTGGGGCCTTAATTTGTAGATACCCAAAATAGCCCCGCGGCATTCATTCAAGTGCAGCTCACTAAATAAATTATTTTCGGTAAAGGTGCGGCGCTTATTCAAGAGCAGCACTTATTCGAGTGGCAGCGCTAAATCGATCATTTACGGTGATCTCTGCATGTACAGCGTCTTCCCAGGCCTTCTTGGTCAATGCATATCGGTGATGTATCCAAACACTTTCTCAGGCCATGTGACCCAAAACACATCGGCCACACACAATAATGAGGCCTAGTTACTAGGCAAAGAACAATACAGGGTTCCTGAACAATTAACTAGGAATATGTCTATCACATCAGCTCGTGAAGCTGCATGTGACAGGGCAGCAATATGAATAACTTGAAACCAGCCAATAGGTAGAAAAATAGCTTGCTCGTTATTACCACCCCATGGACAACCCATCTGGCTCTCTGTGACCTCACCTTTGTTATGATATAAAAAGAATGATACAATAGACCCACCTGGCCATAGAAAATAAATTAAATTAGCATTTATTTCATGGAGAATTAATGGTGGTGAATCTCTTGGCCAGTGAAAAAATATAATAAGCTTACACCACAACTATAATTTTTAAACTACGAGGAAAAAATAATAAAAGAATTATCCAACCAACAAGATATCAAGATATAAAATATCCAGAAGAACAGAACATTTCATTTTCATATTTTTAAGAGCTAAGGGGGTGGGGTGTGGGTGTGGCTTGCTTCCAAATCCCCCTAAAACTTTTAAAATTTAAATTACCAGTATGCATTTGCTGCTGTGCATTATGTTGAAACCTTGTACAAAGAAATTTCCCAAATCACTTCTCCACTTATTATAAGTGGGTCAAAAACTGGCAGAAGTATAGTATTACCTTACTCCTACAAAACTCAGAAAGAAGAATTCATATGGCTTAATTGATAAACTCATCCATACTAAGGAGAGCACAATTTAGGCATGTTGGCTCACTCTTGTGACATCCTTTTCAATGAAAAATTAAGGAATTCCATGATTTTCTGTAAGAGCTTGCACAGTTTTTTCTATCCCAATAAATCATTTATTTTCAAAGACCACAAGAAGATATTTTGGCAACAAGTTTATTGAGTCATATTTAACAACTACACTGACAAGCAAATGACGTCATGACTGAATGAATACTCCCACAGCAAGGAGAGCTGGGTAACGTGCTTGCCCTATAAATTAAGCTAATATGACTGACACATTTATGCAGCAGGTGTTCAAATAAACTTTGGTACACTATAGCATGGAGTGTTAAGCCCAAAATTAAACAACCCCCAAAAGTTGTGAGCACAAAGAGCTGTTAATGCCGGCAGTTTAATGCCATTACTTTTAGGGGTGGGAAATGGTAAAATCCGAGACTCGCAGAGACGCCGAGATCCTAGTTAGAAATCCGAGCCCGAGACTCTTTGGTGAAAAGTTTCGAGACTCAAGAAAAGTAAAAACAAACCATGAAAAAACGAGACTTCGAGACTTATCAAAAATGCTTCCGAGATTTCGAGATCCTGCCAAACTTTTCCGAGACCCACGTTTTTCGAGGTACCATTCGCCACCCCTACTTTTGGAATTTAATACACCAACTCATAACCTATGGTAGTAATTACCAAATAGAAGTGCATCCGACAGGGACAGGGTGTGGGTACAGTGATTTCAACCAGTCACATGATTTAGTAAGGCTCAAAATAGACCCCATTTCCTTGGTAAGAAAAAATCCCTGGAAATTGTCTGGGCCTCCAGAAAAGTGGCATAGAAAAGGTATAAAACAAAATAAGAGATGCAGAGCAACCCTAGTCTCATGGATCTGACATAGTCACTCTTAAATAAATCCAGTGCAAATGGCTGTGTTATTACTACTTCTATGCTTTGTCGTGGATTGCTTAGCTAAGTGCTTGATGGTGGCTTCAACATGCGGCCCATGAACAAAATTGCATTTGACTTCTTATGGCAAATCATAAACAAAAATGGGTGATCAACACAGAAGCTGGGAATGGCCATGCGGGACGTCATAACCACAGCTGTTGCAGCAGCAGCCTCAGTGCCTTTCTCATTAACTTCCACAAATGCCTTATGAATAACATGAGACACATAGATCCTCTCTGACCCTGCTGTGATTCCTGAAAAATCAGCTTTAAATTCATTGAACATATCTGTGACTCCCATTCTGGCTAGAATCTCGTTTAGAAGGAACTGCTGGGTCAGCTTAAATCTTGGCAGGGATACCGCTACTTTTTCAGGTTGTGACTGTGAGACAAATTTAAAAGCCTTCTGTAATTTTTCATGGGTGAGGCTCTCTTCTAACTTGGCCAGCCCATAGGTGTCATGGGGTAGAAAAATTAACATGGAAAGATCCTTTCCTTGGTACGGCAACTCAAGCACTTGACAGGCCAGCCCCCCGCCGTCTTTAATATGCTTGAAGTTTTCTGTTACGTGCATCATTTGGACGTCCACTTTTTCATCTTTGGAGACAAAGAATTTCTGGGGAAAAGTTCTCCCTGTTTCAAACTGATTTTGCCAAAAACCCTGGAAGTAAATTGCATTTACCAAAGTCAGTCTCGTACGCGTGTTAAACACTCCATCGGGAATTAAATTCTTAATCTTTTGCTTCGTCTTCTCTTCAACCCAGCCGTTCACCTCTTTCCTTGCGCCTTCAGCATCCTTCTGGTAGTCTACCATGGCTATTTCGGCTTTGTAATACTTCTCCGTGCCCTCAACGAACTCATGCACCAAGCTAAAGCCCTTCTGCGCAAACAGTCGATTTGCCACCAACAATTCGTTCCCTTGCTCGTTTGTTTCTTGTAGAGCATGAAGATACTGTTTTTCTTCACTGTGTAGCTGTTCTTGAGGTATCGCTTTCCAGTGTAGAGCTTGTGCCATCTGTCCAGCTGTATCCCCCTTCGCTCCCATGTAAGTCATAGCCAGAGCAATACTAAGACTACTCGGTGAGTAAAACAGATTTTTGCTTGTGAAGTTCTGATCATTTTTGAGGGCTTTGTGGAGGTCTATGGTGAATTTATTGTTTGCTTCGATTACAGCTTCCATTTTGTAAAACGTCCTCCGAAAGTCAAATGTTTGCTGCCAATTTTTAATACTGCACCAAAAGCAAACTTGGTAAAGCCGACCAATCAAAGCCACTTTTGCATAATTAATGTCACACGTCATGGAGCCTATGATACGGGGCGACACACCGACACTACCCTAAAGTGACCGAAAAATCGCCCCAAATCCTAAAAGACAGAATGTCAACCTTAATATTTTAATATCTTGAAAATGACGGGATAGGAACTTGTCAGTAATTTTGTTGATTGGATGCCCATTTGAAATCGAATTTGAAAGGAAAAACCTCGTCTATTTAAAAGAATTGAAACATATTTACCTCCAACATTTATTACTTCCCGTTGATAGAAAGTCATATTCCCAGAACTCTTCATTACGAATTTTAATTAAAATGACAATACAAGAGACAACAGCATATAATAATTTTTAACTTTTTAGGTTAGGTTCAAATAAATGTGACTATTTCACCACTTTTATGATTCCATGCCACCACAGGTAGTCCAAGCTCGAAATATGAGCATCGGCGAGCATCGGCATTGTTGCGAAACATTCAAAATATAAGGTATGGGAAAAAAGACCTATCGTTTCTGTATCCTACGAAAATGAAAGGATTTCAATAACAAACAGCTTACCTTACTTAAAATGTGTGCTACGTCTCTCCTGTGTGGTCTACGGGCCGATTTATGGCCGCTTTATGGGTTTTTATGTAAACGGTTTGCTGTCTATATAGTCTATATAAAGCCATAAATGGGCCCGTGGACCACACAGGAGAGACGTAACACACATTTTATGTAAGGTAAGCTGTTTTTTATTGAAATCCTTTCATTTTCGTAGATAACAGAAACGATAGGTTTTTTTCCCCATACAAATCCTTATATTTTGAATGTTACGCAACAATGCCGATGCTTTCCGATGCTCATATTTCGAGCTTGGGCTACCTGTGATGCCACCGCAAATTAAAATTCATGAGTTTTTGCGGCAATTAATTGCTTCCCGCAATCTGTTCATTTCTAGGAATCATATAACAAATATGGGTAATGGTTCAGCTTCTGAAATCACAGAGTCTTGCGTCACGCTAGAATATCAATCAATAATGAAAATCATTCCGAATCTTAACATGAACAGATACTTACTATTTAAAACAGGAACCTGAACTATAAATATCAAAAGAAATTGTCGGTATCAGAAGCTTTCTTACTAAGATCTGTCTTCTAAGCTTGAAAACAATAAAATAGAATAAATTGTTTTTTTATCATCTTGATTAGCTAATCTCGTACCCAGATCTCCCACGGCCAAAAACAGAGTGAGATCTGGGTACGAGATTACTTGATTAGCTTAAAATGTCAAAAACAACACAACTTTCCGCGCCGTGCACTCAATAAATTAAGAAAAAATTCCGTGGAAAAATTGTCTGGGCCAACAGAAAAGTGGTATAAATAAAAGAAAATAACAGTAAATCCAGTGTAAGTGGCTGTGTTATTACGACTTCTTTACTTTGTCATGGATTGTTTAGCTAAGTGCTTGATTGTGGCTTCAACATGCGGCCCATGATCAAAATTGCATTTGACTTCTTATGGCAAATCATAAACAAAAATGGGTGATCAACACAAAAGATGGGATTCATCATCAGTCCCTTAGGGGCCACCATAACCACACCTGTTGGAACAATAGCCTCAGTGCCTTTTTCATTAACTTCCACAAATGTCTTATGAATAACAAGAGACACATAGATCCTCTCTGGCCCTGGTGTGATTCCCGAAAAATCAGCTTTAAATTCATTGAACATATCTATGACTCCCTATTTCTGGCTAGAATCTTGTATAGAAGGATAGATGTCTGGGATACCTCTTTCCTTGGTACCACTTTGTCCACTGTCCTTAGGTTGTGACTGTGAGATAGATTTAAAAAAAAAAGGGGGTAATTTGAAGACCTTCCTTGTTTACTGTGGGTAATGTCGACCGAGATATTGGTCGATATAGCGGTCGATATAGCGGTCGATATAGCGGTCGACACTCGGTCGATAGTCGGTCGACACTCGGTCGACACTCGGTCGATACTCGGTCGAATTTTTCGGTCGACATAGCGGTCGAGGGATGAGGACACTTCGCCGACATCTCTTGGTCGATAGTTGGTCGATACTTGACTAACGACACTTCGATGGTCCAAAACAAGAAATTAGAAAGCATTTTCTAGCTTGGACCTAACTGTTTTTTTTTTTAAATTGTGCCCATGTGGACGGGATAGATGTCATTGAATCATGAAGAAGTCCGCTAAGTGAGAATGATAGGCCTTCATGCAGCTTCTTGTTATGTGATTTATTCCCACCGTATATCTGAAAAAATCAACATGGTTCCTTTCCTTGGAAGGGAAACTCAATTATTCGTCCACTTCGGGACTGCGAGAGCAGTCATTTCACTCGTCACGGGACCACAGGAGCAGCAGATTCAACTTAGGCTGAAACAGGTTCTGTTTAACAGCTAAAACTCAGACGATCGGAGATGATACAAACTTGAAAAAAATGGCGAACTCTTGGCTCCACTGTCCTTAAAGGACGTCAATAAAAATGTCTGTACCTTGATGGGCATAATACCAATACGTACTGAAGCAAGGGTACGTTTCTGACTAGGATTCAGTGCAGTTCATCCAGCCAAAAAAGTGGGGTAATCTGAAGACAACGGATCTTTTGCAGACGTGAGTATCTCTCTTCATTGGTTTTTCTGGGTCCATGTCCTAAGGGAGCCGAGGCTGTATAATACTGTTTCATGGACTTACTTGCGCCATTAGACCATATGATGGCAGCTGGGTATGATTCAACATTAATAATAACTTTTCAAACATATACAGCTATTTCGAGAAAGGTTGTCGGGAAAAGTGCACGCGACCTTCCCGAAAGGTATTTTGGATGGTTTTGTGTTCACTCAAGTTCTTCAAGGAAATTTGAAAGAGTTGCATGAGAGGCCATGGACGTATGTTTGCGAGTGCTATTCAATGAAAGCAGCAAAAGTAAGTTCGACAGCTACAGTGTCCGGAAGAGTGTATTGATCATATCCCATAATACCTTTCGCGATTGTCGCGTGCACATTTTTTCCGACAACCTTTCTCGAAATAGCTGTATACTTAGCAGCAGGGTCTTCTTTATCGTAATTAGATAATAATAAGATACCGTAAAATTCCGAACATAAGCCCTGGGGCTTATATTTTTCAAAGGCCCTTATTGAGGGGTTTATTTTTGGAGGGGCTTAAGGCGGAGGGGCTTATCTACGGAGGGAAATTTGCGTTTCAAAATTGATTGGGTTAGCCTTTAAATATAGTTGGAAGTAAATTTACCGTTTTTGCTTTTTTTACTTTGTATTTGAGGGCAATTTTCCAAGTACAAGCCCCCGGGGGCTTATATTTGGAGGGGCGATTAAACGGAGGGTTTTTTGCGTTACCGGATTGGGGGGCTTATATTTGAAGGGGCCTATACATGGAGAGGCTTATTTTCGGAATTTTACGGTATTATTAAAGAAGTCACTGTGGACATTTTAATATAATTTTTCAAGAGCTAATGGGTTGGGGTGGGGGCGTGGCTTGTTACCATCGCCCCACTAAAACTTTGGAAATTTAATTAGTAGTATGCTTTTGCTCCTGTGCATAATGCTGAAAACATGCACAGGGAGACTTGCCAGAGCATTTCTCTCCGCTAAATTTCTATAAGTGGGTCGTGTTACGGAATAAACAATCTTAGTTGCCAGTGGATATTGGAATAAAATATTGCAAAAACTGGTGAAAGTACAGGATACCATGCTTCAACAAAACTTATAGAATGATTGCAAACGGCTTGGTGAACTCTTCTATAATACTTAAAAAGAAAGCACAATTTAAGCATGTTGGCTCCCCCTAGTGACTTCTTTTTCTATAACAAATAATTAAGGAAATCCATGATTTATTTCAGTAAAAGGAGGAGTTTGCTCAGCTGTTTATACCACAATGCCTGGTGCACATGGAGAATTTACCCCAAAATTTAAAAACCCCAACAGTAGCAAGTTCAAGAAGCTGTTTATTTTGACTGGATAATGCCGTTACTTTTGGAACCATCTACACAACTCATAATAAATAATTAGTAAATATATTATAAAATAGAGGTGCAATCCAACAGGGGCAGAGAGTAGAAAAGTAATTTTCCTTTGTATGATCATTTCATAAATTTAGCAAGGAAAAAAAAAGATACCAGTTCCTCGAGAAGAAAAAGTCCCAGAATAAAATTGTCTGGGGACAGCAGAAAAGTGGCATAAAAAATAGAGAATAGAATAGAATAGGTGTCTTTAATGGATTCAAAAGATAAAAATAAACAAATCAAAAACAGTTAAGATCTTAAACAAATAAAAAAAAGTTCAGATCTATTTAATTCAACAATAAAAAATATACATCGATTTGTTCACATCAATTTGAACTGTTTTATAAGAGATGCATGGATTCTGACAAGGTCATTCTTTTATATGCTGGATCTATGATCAATTAATGTACCATGATTAATAACTAGATCTTAAATGGAACTCACATGTAGACTGTATCATTGCTAAAGCTGCAAAACATCTGTATGCCCTAAAACTATTAAAATGCCCAAGCGTCAATCCACATGACATCTTGAAAGTGTATATAAGTAACGTAAGATCAATTTTAAAGTATGCGATTCAAGTCCGGTGGGACATTCCAGAGTACTTGTCTGATAGGATAGATTGTATTCAAAAGAGAGCACTCAAAATTATATATCCTGAATGCACAGCCTATAATCAAGGTCTTTTAGAGGCAAATATCTCATCTCTAGCAAAAAGAAGGGTTTCCCTGTGTCGTCGATTTGTCTCTGATGACTAGTAAACACGATAACCCCCAGGCACTTAATCATTGCCCGATTCCCAAATCTGCAACAAGAAATGTCTCTTATAATTTAAGATCTGGTAGTGAAAGAACAATAAACAAATTAAGAAGAACTATAAGAGAGCCAACAATTTTTTACATTTAGATATTCTTAAACTTGATTACTTATTGTATACTCCTAGCATAGTTATGTTATATTTTTTAGCTTGTATACACATATATCACTTGTTCATTCAGTATTTATTTAACTGCAAGAAAGTGAAATAAACTATTTATTTATTTATTAAATCCAGTGCAAGAGGTTGTGTAATTTCTACTTCTTTGCTTTGCCATAGAAATAATTGCTTAGCAAGTGCTTGATGGTGGCTTCAACATGCGGCCCATGAACAAAATTGCATTTGACTTCTTATGGCAAATCATAAACAAAAATGGGTGATCAACACAAAAGATGGGATTAATCACCAGTCCCGTGGGGGCCATCATAACCACACCTGTTGCAGCAGCAGCCTCAGTGCCTTTTTCATTAACTTCCACAAATGCCTTATGAATAACTTGAGACACATAGATCCTCTCTGGGCCTAGGGTGATGCCTGAAAAATCAGCTTTGAACTGATTGAACATATCTGTGGCTCCCATTCTAGCTAGGATTTCGTTCAGAAGGAACTGTTGGGTCAGCTTAAATTTTGGAAGGGATACTTGAACATTGTGAGGTTGTGACTTTGAAACGGTTTCAAAAGCGTTTTGCAATTTTTCATGGGTGAGGCTCTCTTCTAAATTGGCCAGCCCATAGGTGTCATGTGGCAGAAAAATTAACATGGAAAGATCCTTTCCTTGATAGGGTAGCTCGAGCACTTGGCAGGCCAGCTCTCCACTGTCCTTAATATGCTTAAAGTTTGCTGCTAAGTGCATCATTTGCACTTCCACTTTTTCATCTTTGGAGACAAAGAATTGCTGAGGAAAAGTTGCCTCTTTTTTAAACTGACTTTGCCAAAAACCCTGGAAGTAAATTGCATTCACCAAAGTCAGTCTCGTACGCGTGTTAAACACTCCATCGGGAATTAAATTCTTAATCTTTTGCTTCGTCTTCTCTTCAACCCAGCCGTTCACGTCTTTCCTTGCGCCTTCAGCATCCTTCTGATAGTCAACCATGGCTATTTCAGCTTTGTAATACTTCTGCGTGCCCTCAACGAACTCTTGCACCAAGCTAAAGCCCTTCTGCGCAAACAGTCGATTTGCCACCAACAATTCGTTGCCTTGCTCGTTTGTTTCTTGAAGAGCATGAAGATACTGTTTTTCTTCACTGTGTAGCTGTTCTTGAGGTATCGCTTTCCAGTGTAGAGCTAGTGCCATCTGTCCAGCTGTATCTCCCTTCGCTCCCATATAAGTCATAGCTAGAGCAATACTCAAACTACTCGGTGAGTAAAACAGATTTTTGCTTGTGAAGTTCTGGTCATTTTTGAGGGCTTTGTGGAGGTCTACGGCGAATTTATTGTTTGCTTCAATCACAGATTCCATTTTGTAAAACGTTTTCCGAAAATGAAGTGTTAGGTGAAACTTTTGTTGCAGAACTTGAAGTGGCTTTCATCGGTCGTCTATCGTCACTGTCACGCGTCACGTCCTGTCACGAGATATGGGATGACACCGGGATAAATGCGGTCGATTCGCTGCAAAGCTGTGAAGTCGTCAGAGTCGTTTCACTGCATCATGAAGCAAGTTCTGTTGTGGAAAACATTAGTTCATTAGAGTTACTTCTCTTCAAAATAAAAGTCTTTTTGATCTAGGCGTTGAGTTTATGTCGCTGATATTTTCGTGGAATCGTTCTTGTTCTTCCTGTAGTTTCCTGGAGTAGCCTGTTTACAGACGACACGAACCCCCAGAAAAAATCGTGGAGAGAAGCTCTCCCCGATTTTTTTTGAGGGGAGGGGGCGTCTGTGCACAGGTTATCCCAGAGTTTCGGACTTCGGTTACGCATAGTTAGTAGTTAGCTACTAACTATGGGTTACGCAATCGCACACACAACGGCTCAAAACTAAAGTCATGACCAATACAAAGTTACTAGTCATAAAAATTTCTATCTTATCTCCTTATACCGTCTGTGGTTCATTTTTTTTAAAAAAGTTTTATTTAAAAAGTCAGTTCTAACGCCATATAAGAAATTAGGAAAGAAACTACAATACCTCTGGTACCCAGGGTATCTATTTGCCCCTCCCCAACTCTAAACCCTGCTCCGAGGTCCCTAACACAAGGATACCACCGCTTTGATTATGACCGTTGTTGTTGTTGTTTTGATAGAAAATTACAGATGCAAGTTCTCCTTCTGTACTAGCCTTGGACCAGGCTCCGCAATGGCGGAAAAAGGCAAAAAACGGGGTCAAATGTGGCCTGTACACAGACGTTATTTTATTTTTCTTTTCGTTCTTTACGAGAACATCCGCAAGCTCGCGAGCGAAGCGAGCGCGGAGAGCGAGAAAGAAAAATAAAGAACTATTTTCTATTTTCTTCTTCCCCCACCACTACCCCCTTGCGCTGGCGGTCAATAAATCCCCTGCGGTTTATATCACTGCCCTTGCCCACCTTCGCCTAACCCTTCGCCCACCTTGGCTTGTTCCACTGTTGTTTGCGCGCCCGACCAAACCGCTATGCTACGCAGGCTACGTCACCAAACTCATTGACCGAGAAGGCCTGGAAAATAGGCAAGCCTCCTCGGCAGCTCGCTGAGGCACTCGGGTGGCCAACAGAGCGCCTCAGAGAGCTTAAACGATTGCAGAAATTCTATACTGATGACGTTCACCAGTCACCACCTTCTGATTGGTTGAGGAAGCAGACCACCAGTCTGAAGCACTACCTACAATATTTCCCAGGCTACGGTGTTACTAAATAGTACATCCACAATACTGTCAACTAATGAAAAAAGTACTACGCTATCGAAACTTCGTAATTGCCCCCGCAGGGATTTCGCCCAGAAGGCGAAATCCCGAGGAGGGACCCTAGCAACTCGCGCGTATATTAAGGAAAGTACTTACAGTTGAAATATACAGTCAGTATGCCAGAAAAAATATCGATTTGCTTGAACAGGGGCCGCTAAGAATCGGTAGGTAATGATGACGTTTCTATCGTTTGCGCCCGCAAGTACAAAATGGTTAGGATGACGTAAAGACAGAAAATCCCGAAGGGACCCCTTAGGTAGATTTTGTGACATTTATTGTGCCTTTTTTTTTGTGCAGTCATACTTCGATACTCTTTTTCGTTACGTGTTATCAGATACATTCTGTGGAGCAGTTGTTTGGAAAGTTATGGACCAAAAGACTCGTTCAGCGCAGATCAAGTTATAAGGTGCGTATATCTGTGTATATATATATAAACTTGCAAGACAAGAGTTCACAAATCTTTGATTTATATTGGAAACCTTACCAGACACCCTTTCTCTCTCTTTGACCGGAATGAGACTCAGCCCCAAACAAGCAAGACGAGTGGATCAACGGCTAGCTTATCACTAGCAGAACGATGGACGATTACAGAAATTCGCCAACAATCAAATCTTGTGCTCACTTAGTCCCTGCTCACAGATGTCCTTCCGCTTTAAAGGTTAAAATAAGACTAGGATGCGCGAGCGTGAGTTGATCAAAAGTCCTTTTAATTTCTTAGGCTTACTTTCCGGCAAATAAAATAACTTAATGTAAAAAGTGAAAGAGAAATAGCGAAAAATTCAACTTTTAATTAAATCTTTTTTATGGTTTAGAATAAACTATTCTCGAAACTGAGAATGTTTTGATCAACGCTGTGTAAATCGAACGGAAACTGTGCATGGAACCTTAAGTTTCCTGTTCAGTTTTATCTCACCTATTGTACGGAATAATATGTGTGAAAATCTTCATTATGAATCAGACGGGTATATTTTCAAGAGCTACTCAACGAGCAAGAATACTATTGACCGACAAAGTACAGAGCGGGGGCAGCTGTAGTGTCAACTATTACTAGTTAATCACCTAGCGACAGGGGCGAAAGGATAAACGAGCCCATCATACACATACAACGACAGCTACTGACAACGAAAAATATATTTGTTTTATTATAATTATGTGGTAAATCAGAGGCACGGCATTTCAATGCTTCCGGGACTGGCTCGGCGGAGGTATAAAGTTCTCAGGGGCTCGATCACCTTTAGCCTGTTCCAGGCGTTCAGATAGTGGGGAGTGGTGCGAAGTAAAAATGAGCGCGAAAAAATTAAAGCGAGGGAGAAGGAGAGGTAAGAGAAGGATTAGTTAGCTATCTGCTGGCCAATCTGTAAGTTGCGCATGCAAAAATAAATAAATAAATAAATAAACAAAAAGAAATTAAAAAAACAAGACAATGTATAATATAACAATAAAGGCCGGAATTATAAAGGTCTCGATAAGTGTGTATCACTTACCTCGAACTTGATTATTCTGGATATCACAAAAACCTCTTGCAATAATTCACAGGTCTCGACTGGTAGGAGAGACAACCTGGAAACGAGGTTGGCCCTCATAGTAGGGCCGCAGCGAAAAGATGAAACACTAGAAAATTGTCCAGTTCTCGTTTTCGTAGACAGGTCGTTGAGGGTGCCAGATCAACAGAAGAACGTTCAACAAGTCGCAAACTACCGCTAATGCCTGCTTCAGCCCTCGGCATTGAGACAACAAGAAATTTTGCAAGCTTTGTGGCGTACCGTGAACTTAGAGTATTGTTCCTACGAAAGTGTTTTGAAACGAAGATGTCCAGGACATTTAAATAAATTGCGTCTTTCAGCTGCTATTGAAACAGATTATAAATTGACAGAAATACACCGACCTGAATTTGTCTGTTGCATAACATGCTAAAATATTTTCCCTCGGCTACAAAAAAAAAACCCCGGCGGCGATTCCTTTTCTGTCCACTGCTAAGAAGCTAAAGTAACTAGCAAATAACCCACCTATAGTATAATTTTAAAAGCGTTAAAGCAATATATGAAAGGTTTCCCACCAATGAAGGTGTCTAGCCGGCAATCCTGCAAGCAAGCTCTCCCGGGGGATTATAACGTCATCGCCTGATTAAAAATCAGCCAATCAGCATTTCGCATCCCATTCTTGGACGCAGATATTCAAACTAGTGAGACGCGAGTGCAAGCTCTCCTTCCCCTCTCCACCCCCGTACCCCCGGGAGCCCCAGGAGAGCTTGCTCGCTGGCTAAAAAAATGCATACGCATTATTTCACTTTCTCTTGGGAGACTGTACGTGTCTCGTGCGTTTTGCTCGAAGTACCAAGAAAAAAGGGAAACTGATCGTAGTCCAGAGACTGTAACACCAGGAGAAACTGAAAACAAAAGACGATGGCGTCATTTTATTACCATGACAAAGATCCTTTTCGTTATTCCTTTTACATCTAAATTTGGTAATCCTAAGGCTTAAATAACAATGGCCCAAATAGACTATTTCCAAGTTCCGCTGGGCCTCTGAATCTAAACGAGGTTAAGCGGTCAGCCTTTGATATGGAAATGATTTTTCATTCTCATGCAAATAAAACTCATTTTCACGAGAAAGGCTGTGCAATTGGCCTCATTTTGAAAGTGAAGGTTTCTGGAACTCGGAAGCTAACCCTGAAGGATCTTGGTCGTAGTAGTAAGATGACGTCATCGGGCTAATGGGCCACTGATTTTCCTTTTTTGGGCGGAGGGGAACAAGGCGATTATGGGCAACGTAAAAAGGCTGATGGAGTGATGGATCCATTAAGGGAAGGGAGGGTCAGCACCCACCTTGGTCCTCTCCCCTGAACTGCCACTAAGAGGGTACCAGACGTTTGGCCGTAGTAGCAGTGGATCAATGGCGATTAACTTTAACTCCTACAGATAAATCAAGGTAAACAGAATAAAGTTTGGGTTACAAATGTACAAATGAACAACGCTAAACTGATAAATATTCCTTCGCCTGCTGGGAACGTCAAATGACAACACAAAGACCAAAGTTGGGATTAAGATTCATAGAAGAATTTTAATTAAATTTACAAGTCAACATTTTTTCTTTGAAGGGTAGTTACTATTACCCTTTCTTGCCCTTAAAAATGGCCAAAAGAGAGGTTCTTGGTGTATCTGCAGAAAGACAAAAACTTATAAACAACCATTAACTATATGTCATTTTGAGGTAGAAAAATCAGTAAAATATGTACAACTTATGGTGCTCGAAATTGTTACAAAATGTCCATTTTCTTTTGGAGAAAAGCATTTGTTTGCAAAAAGGTGTCATACTAAAAGCAGAGGCGGAATGGTTGTCTCTAATCTAACTCGTCAGTTTAATTAATGATAAACTGGCCATATATTGGTTCTAATAGAACTGGCTACGTTAACCCACAAACCCCGCATGACACGTCCACGACCAAATGGGTTATACCCCCGCAGCTACAAGAATGGATTTGTTTCTTTCAAAGTACACTCACACGGGATAAATTACGCAGCAGCTAGCTGCTATATTCTACCTTGCACTCCTAGGCCCCAGGGTGCTGATTCCTTAGTTCTAAGTACAATCGCTTCTTAGAAGTAAGGACAATCGATTGTGGAGCCACAATGAGAACGGCTGTTTGTCTACGTCTCGTTTTTTTATTCATTTATTACCAAAACGAAGAGCATGGACATTCGTTATCAATTCTCTTTTGCTCTAAAGTCACAAGATGTATGCTAGACGAACAATTAAACTGGATTGTCTTACTCTACCTAAAGCTAAATTACGTTCGTTTTGCACAGTGCTGAAATCTGTAGCTAAAGGTTTTAAGACAAATAAATAATAGCATCTGAAGCAACGTCAAAAAGATTGTAGCTTTGTGCACGCGAGTCCTTTTTTTTTGTAAATGCAAAAAGTAGTTTTTTATGGCTGTAAGAGTAGCCCGCACATTAGGACTATGATTTGTGATAAGGAAACTATGGCTGTCGTTTGGAATGTCGCAAAGTGTAAACAGACTCATGGGAGATACAGTAAAAACCCTCAAGTAAGAACCTAATTGTTAGATATATAATATAGTAGAACCTATTTAGCCTAAAATTTGGTAAAGTACATTCATGTCATGGCCTAAAGGACGACTTTAAAATTTTAGCCAGTTCGAGAAGTGGCAGCCGCACACAGGCTACAAATGCCACTTTTTCATGAATACTTATTAAGTATGAAGATTTGACATAAGGAATGGGCTAACAGAAAACAAGACCCTTCTTGAGAACCCAAATAGCCAAACTTTGTGCTAATTACCATTAATTTAAGAACCAGTTAAAGCTAACTTAGAAAACTGCAGGTTCTTATTCGTAGGTTTTAACTGCAGTCTTCAGCTGCACTGACTCTTCTAGTGAAATTGTTAAATTATGACCAGCATATTGCTGGTATGCAGCTGATTTCACGGCAGCTATGTTAACTGACAAGGCAGCCGGACAATCTGCGAGCCCTTGCAATTTGTGCAAGCCATGGGAAAACATAAAGTTACAATGAAAACATACGTGAACAATGCTTTTTGCTTAGTCCCCAATAGGTATGCGAGGTTTTGCTGCTGGACTATTTGCAACATTGCGCAGTCTTGGTCGACTTTTATTATGGCTTTGCTCCCTGTTAATTTCTTTCCTTATTAATGCTTTTTCGCCTTTTTTGGCAATTTTTTTGCATGGCTCGTTGGCTTGCAATGGCTAGCTGACAAGAAGAAACGTTTCCTCCGCTAGGAACCTGACTCTTTTAACATGCAAATTTTGAGACCCAACATGGTCGCCTTACCACGGGTTGCAATCAAGAATAGCCACAAAAATTACAAGTAAACAAAGGAAAACAATAAAATTAGAGTGTAATATTGCGTATTAGTCCACTATCTATTTCACGGGTTAAGTAAGATCACTCTAAGGCCTTTTCCATAATATAGTAGGTTAATTGTAAAAACAGATTCGTAAGAATATAATATTGAATAATATAGATATTGTTTTCCTCCTTCTACTGCAATACAAAAGATTCTTCTTAATGAATATCAAGAATCTAAACTAGCTCCTATTAAAATTTCCTGGTTTTTGCGCAAAGGAGGTCCAACAGATAACCAAACACGTTATTCAAAATAATGCTCATAACTTAAACAACTTTTGGTTGAGTAGCCTGCCCACATAGACGTTTTAGCAGTTGATTTTCTCTCTGCCCCAAAGCGTACTTTTCGGGTGGAGAGATGAAAAAAACCGGAAATTGGTTGAGGTTCATGCCTCATGTTTAAAAACACTGTACAACATAAAGTATAAAAAGCAGAATTAAGGTTTAAGCTCAGTGTTAAATAAACCTCTCTTTTGAACACATCTGATAAAAACGTCAATGAAACTTGGCTGCTTCTATATATTACCTTTCGGAGGAAAAAGTTATATATTAAAGTGCAACTTTTAAAAACTCTTTCAAATAACTATTTTCAAAGAAACCACAACTCTTGTCAAAGAGTTAAATGAAATCTGTTACTGCACGTGCAAAGAATTCAGGAACTTAAAAGAAATCGAGCATAATAAATTATAAACCCTAGCTGAACTTACACTGGGGTAGTTGCTGTGTTAAATTTTCGCTCATTAATAATTTCAAGCCGAAAGGAATGTACCGTGGCGTATTTGCATATCTGAAAAGAAAAAACTCCTCATTTTTGCATCCTTAATTTGTTCCAAAATCTCTTTGTTCAGACAAGTGATACTAAACACTTGACACATTGTTTCGTCAAATATCAAGCCTTTCGTACGAGACAACGTTATAACAAGATCATTTGTCACTTTGACTTGGATGGAATCCTTGAGTGTTACCATTCAGAGCAAACATCTTTGACAGAACGTTTCAATAGCCTTTGTGCAGCACTATTTATTTTTTTTTTTAGGACTTCCCAAAAAGAAATTAAAATTTTTTAATTGTTTCTTAACTTTCTTTCTTAACTGTGAAAGGGTTTAACACCTTAAAGATCATCGAAAGTACTCTGCCAGGTGTTTTAACAAATTCAAAAATTTTAACTCTATTCTCGGTGTTTGGAAAGTGATGAAACACTGTGTTTCGTGTTTCGTGCATAACTTGAAAAATTATTCATTTGAATAAAATGGCTTTAGTACTTCAAACTAGTTATTACAAATTATATATTACAGAAAATCACGAAGCGCCTTAATGTTTATTATGGCTTTGGATGAAATTCTTCCAAAAAGTTAGATAATTTTTCAAAATGCCTAATTTAGGTAATTAAATGGGTAAAAAATTTCAAGTTCTCATTTTGCTAGCTTTTGTCAATGTCCTCCCACTTGACATCGGGAATAACTCCTTTCAATGAACAACGAATAAACTTTTCCATCTTTTTCCGTGCATCCTGTTCCTCAAGCAAGCTTTTCCGGAGAGATTCAGTTTCCTAGGGGGAAAATAACATCAATGGAGAAATATTTCATTTAATTGAAGCAATGTAATGAACTCAGAGGCCAACCAAAGCCTGGGAAGCTTTCAAATACAGCCCGGGGGGGGGGAGGGGGGTACTCAACAACGTTTCATACGAGGAGGCTCCTCCCCGAGGTCCAACACCTTACCACTTTACATACCATTTTTGACAGAAAAGGGCCCTCTTTGGGTATACCTTCCATTGCCAAATGGTACTCCTTTCACATACCTAGTTAGAACCATTGTACCCCTTTTAACTGCTGTAGATGCACTGTCTTTTAAATATGAAAAAGAAATCACAGTACCAGGAAATCTTTTCACCTTTTTCATAGCCATAATTTCTCTTATTAGCTCTTTTAGGTCTTTTTACAGACGGAAAAGACACATTTCCCTATCCTTTCATATACTTCATCTCGTAAAATCCCTACCCTTTCCTACATCTGAGGCCTGAAAAAGGTACCCCTTTTGGGCGGAGCCTCTCCGTATAGGCCACTATAGGGACTATCCTCCCCGGGCAAGGAGACAGGTTAATACAAGGAGGGAGACCAAAGGGCACTCAATCTTTTTGTAACTGTTGTTGCTTTTTCGTCCTTTTTTCTTTTTAGTATTCTAATAAGATTTAATGTAATAAGCATCGTAACCGAGTAATTAGATTTTGTCTGTGAAGTCATCTTCCTCTTCCTACTCCTCTTCACTGGGGATCTTTCGTTAGACATGTGAAAGGTTTAGCCTCACAAATTTCATAGTGATGACGCAAATCAATATTAACATAAATAAACCAGTACTCACAGAGTTTCAAAATATAAATTTGTTCGAAATTCTCTTTCTCGTGATTGCAAAATGTTGCTACTCTAAATTTGTGCCAGAAAATCTGAAATAATTCTTGAAGAGCAAATATATTACAAGGGAAGGAGTGTTTGTTGGAGGATTGAGTGCCTTGTATATTTGATCTTTGAGACCTTTAAACGGTAATACTAAGCAGATTATGGACAGATTTACGTCATCACTATGGAATTTGGGGGTCCAAAACGTTGGCGTTTTATCATGTCCAACTGCAAATACGATTTTGTAAAAGGTGAAATTTAGGACCGACATGTTTTACAAGTTTGTAACCAACATTCTCTACACCATCTCCCACACATTTTACAGAACTAAAATTTGTTTAAAACGTGAGGCTGCTAAGTTTGCTATATCCTCGTGAACTCCAAGTTTAATTAAACTTTGCTATTATGAGAAATAAGACACTTTTACATCAAGGGTTTAATGGATTTCACGTACCAGTTGTAGTTCTTCCACTCTCCTTCGTAGACAGTTGAATTCACCAACTACATCCCTATGGACAAAAACAGATAGTTGTCATGTAAGAAAATAAACGAATTTACACTAAATTATTTGAGATATACTCTAGCGATTTAAAACACACATTACCTGGGATGGGTTAGGATAAGCATTAACTATAACTTTTTACTTTATTTCTAGTGTTACTTAAGGTCATCGATAGAAAATTACTACCAAATTCCATGAGTGGAATACACAAAAATAAAGTGCACCAGGTCAGGGAATTTCGCTGAGGTTGCATTAGAATAGTTTCACAATGTGATTTCAATCAAAGACTAACAATTCAGGGTAATATCTCGCCTTTACAGTTTACTGTGGGATCGCAAGCAAAATCCCAGCTTACCTCATACAAATAGAACACTTGACTTGTAATAGCGTTTAGTTAAAAAAAAAACACACACACAACTTGTGATTAGCAAAGTCTATTTATTTCTAATAGCTGCCAAAAAACAGCATAGTGATGGGAAGTGAAAGCTCGTTAGAGGATATCTGTTTTGGGCAGAGTATACTGTAGCATCAAAGCCAGAAAGTATATCAACCTTTACAAAAGGGTACAACACTCAGGAGAAACTGCTGAATCGCTCAATGTGTGGGAATCCAAGACAGTTTTGGTTTCTAGGTTGTTCCCCTATACGTTGAAGGTACTTGGGGGGTTTCTCTTGTCCTAGAGAGGTCAGGACTTTAAACAGTCAGTGGTACCTTATGCGAAATCCGAAAAAAAAGCTTTACTTAGGCAAACTATGATAAGCAAGCTTAAAGTACAGTTAGAACTTCTAAGCTCACCTATTAAACTTTTTCTTTGATTTCCTTGTTTTTAGCCCATCTCCCTTCAGACTTGAGGTTGAAGATGGGCGGTGAGGGGGTAACTCTGGAAGAATTGGACTACCTGTGAATTGAATGGTGGAACAAGGGGACTCATGCACTGTTTTAAGTCATGCACAATTTAAACTGGGACAGTGATTTATATGAATTTAAGAAAATTAATTTTGTCATAAGGTTATTGGAGATTATAGTAATTCACGACAATTACGTGCAGCCCTATGCATTTATAAACCATTACAGTTTATTTATCGGATCTTTAAAGGGGATTCACTAACAGTAAAGACATATAGTCAGGAGGTAAACGTTTTCATTAAAACAACTCGTTTTAATATATTCTTTAGGTCAACTTGAAATAATGATGATTTGTAGATCGAAAAACTACAATTTACAGCTTATTTAATATCATTCACAAAATAATGATTAAAAACCAACAAATTTAATTTTATCTACTGCAAAAAGACCTTCTTGACTTAAAAAAACTTCAGGAAAAGGAACAGTTACTGCTGCGTTAGCTCAGTTTCTGAAGAGTTAAGTTTAATAATAATTTAATCGTGAACTTTCAACAGTAGAAACAATGTTTATATAACCTATAAAATTTAATTCACGAATACATATTAGTGATTATCATGCATCATAACTTGATCGAAACTTAAGAAGTAAATTATTCACCTTGTAATTATGAGAAATTTTCGTTAGTTATTTTAAGGATATTAAGCTGTGTGATGCAACTTACTATGATTACGGTGGTTTATCATAACACAAATGATAATCATCAACACCAGCATAAATTAACTGAATACAATACAAACTTCTTACCAAAGCAGAAATAAAGAAACTGAGACAAACATTTGCGTCTCACGAAAAATTTCTAAAAAACCGTTTCCCTCTACCACAAACTCTCTAGACAAAATACATGCATTATTTTTCAGTTCAGTGAAAATATTCACAAAAGGGCACAAAGAGTTAACAAAGTTTGCTTTGCTAAGCAAAAAGTCCTAATGAAACGAACCAGAGATAGAGGTTACTTAATAAGACTCTTCTAATTTGCATTACAAAGCCACCCAAGGCACTTTCAAGCGCTATTTGAAAAGTGGGTCCCTCCATTGACAAAGCCCAGGGAAACTGTACAGAAAAGATGGTATTTTGATACGAATTCATGTGGTTTGATTCTTTCCACCCTCAGCACCATGCAAGTGTAACACCGGAAGCTTGGGAAACAAAAATTATTCTTTAGTTTATATATTGTATAGTGGATTACGAGAAAAGAAGAAGAATTTCCTCGTTACTATTTTAGACTTTCAAACTTTGACAGGGTATTGTCAAGGCCAAAAGGATAATCCACTCTCAGCAAGTTTTTCCAAAACAAAATATCAGTTCCCATTACCAAAACAAAACTTAGTCCGTGTAACACAAACTTAGGACGAAATAAAACGTAACAAAAACTGCGCAGCTAAAAGATGAACCGTATTATACCAACTTTCAAGTTGACAAGGAGTCAGACCAGTGACAAAGTCTTTTTATGATGTACTTTGTACCCCAGAATAGAATTCAAGAAAATAGACATTGAAAACGAATAAAAGTATTATGAAAAGCTTTCAATTAGAAGGCCAATCCTTGCACATTCGTGCCGAGACTCGACAAATAAAGTTAGTCTTAAGCCTTCAAAAGAGACTCTGGGAGGCTAAGCATTAAAAAGGTTATAAGCATCCCAGTACCTCAGGAAACAACAGGATTACACACCCCAGACGACACCTTCCCTTTCCCGTTCCCTCTATCTGGCCAAAGACATCACTTGCACTAAACTACAACGCCCTATCAACCTTCAGACTACAAGCTGTAATGAAAAGAAAGAAGTGTTTTGCTTTGAATACCTGAAACTGCCTTGGTCCTTTGTGTGTCTGTATTGTAAGGCAAATCAGAAACATTACTTGTGCTACGATGCCTAAATTTCAAATAGGGAGCATACAAAGAGAGCAAAAGGACAAAATCGGTTTTCTGTAGGGGGGGAGCAGAGGGCAGGGAGAGGGTTTAATGAAGGATAAGGACAGCATACAGGTGAAACCGTGTAGCCAAAATAATGGGAATAAATGAAAGGTCAAAGATATTTCCATCAGGTAACTTGCTTATAAAGGCACACTTTTGGTTCTCTAAAAAGACATCTAAGGTGCATATTACTAGATTTATCATCCACTCTTTGGAGCCACCTTGACTATAGAGAGTACTTACTTTGTTACAATACTTATTTTTCTTAAGGTGCATTTCTTACGGTGAAAAAAAAACGAAAACATTTAATGTACAAGAGGATAGTTATCAATATGATTATTTCTTAACTTTGTGTGACGTAGAGAAGAAAAATGAGCTAAACTTTTGGGCAGACATCCTCAAAATAATTGCTGCTTGTGAATTCACGGACTTCAAAACGTGGAAAGTTCTCATTGCCAGGTGTGGTGTTGTTAAGTATTTCCTTATCAGACCATTTGACACGCTCGGTGGCGTGTAGAAAGGTTGCAAGATCAGCTGGTGTAACTGGTACAGCAAGGGAGGGCAGGAATGAGGCCCTTTAAGGGGGCATACCTGCCCTTAGTTGGTCGTTTCGCATATTGGAGAGGAGGCTATGTTGCTATTGACATGTTACCATTGTATTTGTGATTTTCCTCGTCGCTGTCAGTTTCAACCCATTTTGTCACAGTCGCAGTTTTAACCCATCTTCATGTTGTTTGTCGCCATTTCACCTGTCTTATGTCACTGTTTCAAGGCTATGTCGCTTGTCTGAATTTAACCCTAACAGGGCCTCATGAGTGAAAAAGAGCTTTTTATGGGTGGAGGAAATTGTAGACAGCAAGGGAATTTGACAGGTGGCTATTTCAAGAGTTAAAATGAACTTTAATCATGTCAATTTCTCCTCGGGACTAAACTGTCAAAAAAAGCAGTTTTGATTGAAACAAAGCACTCATGGACCCAATGCCATCAGCTACACCAGCTATCACAACACTTGTTTGTAATAGATTACCTTTGCTAGTAGTACTGTTCAAGATGTTATAATTTATTATATAAACGCCAATGAAATACAAGGTGAGCTTTCGTGCAAAAACATTATAGCTTCACATGAAAAAATTACACGTTGTCCTCACAAGTGAAAAGATCACCATTGCTATAGCAACATAATACACAGCACCTTTCACACACAAAAAGTGGTTTGGTGTTTCATTGGTGTTTATGTAATAAATAAAACATTACATGGCTTCTTGGAGCTACGAAATTTCTCTTCTTGTGTCCAAAAATATTTAAATTGTTTACTGCGCTCATTCATGAAATATTTTTCCAACACTCAAAGCGAAATTTCGTGTCTCCTTGCGGCCATGTCATATCCTCTATATTGTACATGTACAATATGCATGTAAAGTATGTAATAATTTCTGACTCTTTATTGAGTAGCCGATATTTCTAACCATAATGGTACAAAGTCATTCATTATTTACAATATATACAGTATGTGCATATTTCTCGTAATGCTAATAAGCCGTATTTCATAATGATGCTCTTCTAATTTAAGTATTGAAACTTTTTTATCAAGATACCGGTAACCTGCAATCAGACTCTCTTTTTCCATCCATTCGGTCAAAAAGTTCCCAAACACATGGGAAGGCAGCACAAACAATAATACACAATGTAAAATCTGGCCTGATTACAGGTTAGGTTAGTTAGTGTCAAATATAATAAATTATCCAATAAATAGTACCAAATCTAATGAATATTTCTTCATGTAAAAAGATCTAAATAATTATTAACAATGAGTACTCAAAGCTGTCATCAGCTATGTACCTCTTTCATCACACACAACTTGCACTATCGCGTTAAATATCCTAATATACTATTACTAGTGAAGTGACTACCAACAAGATATAAAATGTTTGCTGGTTCACTTCACCTGCTGCTACTACGGTTATAATTTTTATATTGAAACCCTTCGTAGCCAAAACTGCATGGTAAAGAAGTAGGATCATCAGATTTCTGCTAAGTTTACATCTAACCTACTCTCTCTAACGCACAAAATGGCCTGTCACCAACGAGGACTGTCAACCCTTCCCAGTAGAATCAAGATATGATACTTTTATCACTGTCACTCACAGTCAGATATTGCTTTCACATTGATTTCATTCTTCCTCTTATTATAATGCTGATTTATTTCTATACATATTTAATATTGAACTCCTTCAATAAAAAAAGGAAATAAAAGTAAATAGAATCTAAAAGGCCAACATGAAACATTTTGTAATTCAAAAAATAAAAAATATATTGCTTGAAAATAATGTGCCAGTAACTAAAAAATAGCAGTATTTAACCCTGCTGCATGCTGTGTTATAGTGTCATGTACATTTTAGTTCTGATTCTAGAATTTTTAACTCGTACACTTCCCGTTTTCTAGTGAGTGGGATCCATAGCGTATCTAAAACTACCAGTAATAATAAATAATTATTATTAACTGACATTAAGTCATTAACATAACATACAAGTTCTGACAATTGTATGTGCACCTTTCTTATTTTTGCCTGGTTCTCCATGGCTTGGAGTCAAATAAAGGTATTTTAGAATCTTTTCTCAAAATGTCAGAAGTCATAACACTAACTTCTTGATATATTTTAATCTGCTACCTGCTTCTCCTGTTTGCAACTTAATTTATAAATCAAATCTTTAAGTGCAACCATGCAAATGAAAGCTACTTAGGGTAGCCTTCTTATCATAAGGTAACGCCAGTGTTTTATATGGACATTTTAGAAGCCTAATGCAGAAGACTCCTTTAGTCCAGAGTTTAATATGTGTACAATCTACTCTTGCTGACTAATCCCGGGCAGCAGCCATGTGCCAAGATCTTGGCACCTCGTGGACGACTTGAATGAATTGATTCATCATTTTCATCATCATTAGCAACGTCTTCGGCAAGACCGCTGTGATGGGAATTTTTTGCGTCTTCTGCACACACAACGAAGGTATAACAAAGACTTAGAATATGACGCCTGACTTGTCACTAAAGATATTTATTTACTAAGACACTAGTCCTTTCACTTCAGAGGGCAGATGTTGAGCTGTGAGTTTTGGTTGGAACTCTTAAAGTCTCTGGGTTGATGTATGCAATCCTCGAGTGTTGCCACATAAAACAGGTTATTTCATGTGGTGATGAAATCTGAGTCTGTGGCTTAAGCCCAAGAGTGTTACCTTTGCGTGTTACTGTCAAGCTGCACAAGGCAGTGGCAACATTTGGATCTGAATGATCTCGTACAGTTCTGATTATATTTAAAAAAATTGAAATTAGGCTCTTAAAGAAGTCAAAGATTTAAAATCTATATTAAAGGTATGAATCAGAGTTTAAATTACAGGTTAGAAGTTAGAACAAAAACACGACACATGCAATTTAAGGAGTAACATTACATTATAAGAAGTTTTAGTCCACTTTGGCTAGGTGAAATTTCAGGAGGAAAAACTTTTTCAAGTGCAAGTTATCGGTGACTACAGAGTGATTCAGTGCAAATTATAAATATGGCAAATAAGACATGATGTACACAGCTGAATATTATGTGGGATGCAGAACAGCACAAAATATGCACACAAGAAAAGGATCACATTCTAAGATTTCATATTTGTTATACCTTCAGGGCATGTTTTCACAAAAACTCGAGTCTGGTGAGGGTGTCACCTCTGTAAGACGTATTGTATGATCTTTAATTTACCTCTATTTTGCATGCGAAAAATGTGGAGTGACTAGCAATATTTATAAAGTCTAGTGCAGTGTAAATATAGTCTTTGTAACTTCAAGTGCATTACAGCAATAGTATTTATTGAAGTGCTTTATTGCAGTGCCAGGTCTCGAGTATCTGTTTTCATAAAAATTTTAAAAAAACTTACAAAACTTTTGCATCGACCGAAAACATGAAAACAAAAGCAATGATGATCCAACCAAGCCTTGTTTCAATGGCTGTGAATTGTGTTCTAGATTCTCCATGAGACACTCATTTAGCCAAACTCATGTACTTAGTTGACAAACTTAAACAGCAGAAAAGTGATTGATGTAGTTATGCAACAAAGTGATGGGAGGCAGGGTATAAAAACAAAAATGGAAGAAATGAATGTGATAAAATGGTAACACAACAGTGGTACACAGAATGAAAAACTTTAATAAACCCAAACCTAGTACAACATTGACAATCAAGTTTATGATAAGATTTGAAATAAATTTTACAAGTCAGCTTTTAGCTTTTGCACATAGTTAATGAAAATACCCCAGGCTAATTTTTACAAGAAGGTGCAAGACTTTCAGCAAACGAAAACTATACATTAGTGCCTAAGACAACGCTGTCATTTAGAAAAGCACAATACTGATGACAACCACTGAGTGTTTCTTTATGAATAAGTTGAGATCTTACGTCACTGTTATTCAGTAAAATCAGCATCAATGTTGTGGACAACAAAATTATTATAAATGATCTTCCACTCATCATGATCAATCAAATATTGATTGCAACCAGTTATCAAGAACAATACATTGATAACAACTAGAATTATTAGCAGCAGTAACCATTATTTTTCCCTTCAGTTTCATTCCAATTCTATTTCAGCCAAAGAGAGGTGATTTTTTGCTACTACTAATAATTTTCATGGACAGTATGATACAAAGTTTGAAAGTTACTAGAATTATAAACCAGTGACAGCACCAATTTCTAATGTTACAATCATGAGTGTAGCTTTCAGAACAACTATGTACTGGAAAGCAAAGCCAATAAATTATGACTGAATCTTTTCAAATTTATGGCAGGAGCACAGTAAAAACTGTACAAAATAAGAAAAGTTCATCTCGGTCTATATTAAAATTTTACCTATGGAAAAAAAAAAACTCTCTGAACTGCGAATCAAAGTAAAAGTTAATGCAAACAAACAAATTTTGCCTCTCATCATCCCAAACTCTTAGCCAAAATAATAATAATAATAATAATAATAATAATAATAATAATAATAATAATAATAAACAAAATAGCAAATATCAAAAAAGTAGCCTAGTGGATTGACTTTTTAATTAAATTCAATGAAGTATTCATTTCAAGCAGGCTTTGTTTCTGAAATTCAACAAAACAATGTTGCCATTACTCTCGCACCACACTGAAAACCCTGGCCTTAAATCAAAATTTCAATTCCCTTTTTGATGCTCCCACACATTTCCTGCAGAGGTAATGGAGAGAAGTTGTCGAGCAAATTTCTGTTGTGTGTAATATTCTTAATTGTTCAAACCACTCTGTTTTATAAAGCACCGATAATACCAGAACAAGTTTGATGCTGATCAACCTAAACCAGGGTCAACCAGTACCATACATTAGCTAAACTGTCTCCACAATTTCCAGTGCAGTACCATATTGTTATTAACTACAATCCCCAGAATTGGACAGAGGTATACAACAAGGGACAAATTTTGCTTGAAATACTGGTGAGCATTAAAATTACATGTTGTCATTTCGGACATTGTAAAGAACTATTGAATAAAACATAACACAGGATACCATGAGTTTTGCAGCAAAGAACAGTGTCATACAACATACAGCATTGCTCATTACATGTGTTTTCTCTATTATAATGCTTAACATCATAAACTTGGGAAAAAAGAGAAACCATGTAAACAACAGTCTCTTCTTTGGAAATAAAACTATCCACCTCTTTTCTAAAATGCTAAAGGTGCATACAAGCCAAGGAAGCCTACATGGCCTGAGCTTAACTATTTTTCCATGGTAAGAAGTACCTAGGAGAATGACGACTCCCCACTGGAGGGGAAGCTAGCCCATCTCAGGAGTACTCAGCAGTATGTCGCTGATACTGTGCAGAGGTGAAGGGAGAGACAAGTGGAGCCAGCAAGGTTCCTACTTTTTTCACCTCTTCAAATTCCATGACTTTCAAGGACTTTTTCCATGACCTCTTTTACGACTTTATGTTTGGCTGTGACTATTAAACATTTTCCAAGCTATCCTTGTTTCATGGCATTTTTTTTACCTATGTAACTTAGTTCAACAGACACAAACTCTGTTTTTCACAAAAATATGTGCTGTTCGTGCTATTAAATTACTTGTCTCTATCTTACTTTGTCCTTCGTTTGACATTTGAAGTAAACCAATCTACCAAACGTAGTTTAATTTTCCATGACTTTCCACCACCGACTAATAAATTCCATGACTTTCCAGGACTGGAAGAGGAAATTCTTAAATTTCATGACTTTCCAGCCCGTATAAACCCTGTGCAAAGTTTCTTGTCTAAGGAAACATGACAGCAATTCTTGTAACCGGAACTATAAAATCGGATGATGCATTTTGTTTGTTATTCAGGTTTTTTGGACCAAGCACATTCCTAAAGGAGCTCAGAGATTTTTTCATTAGACCTCTAAATCAAAGTGGTAAAAGCTGATGAGTACCAAAATTTCAGAAGCCAGTGCTAAAAATTGATTACAGGTTACAATCCCACTTGTGACACCATATTTCCCGTTTTGATTGCAACATGAATTATTACAAAGTCACTGCATGAAACTTACTATTCAGTGTATGCCTAGCTCTTGCGCTTGTACAATAAGCTTCTACGACTCGCAGAATAAGCATGTCTTCTTCTAAAACGCGAGTGTTTCCTGAAAAAAAAAAGAAAAAAAAAAAGAGTTTTAACTGCAGTTAGCTAAGGACCTGGGCCTGTTTCTCAAAAGTCCCAGTAAATTTTCCAGCCCATAATCAAATATTCAAATCAATAATATACAGAATAAAAGCACAGGTCCTAGATAACCAATCAGTCCATTTTGTTTTGTCAGCTGATAGTTTTATCATGTTATGTGGAAAACTATTGAAAATTTGATCTTGAATGTAAACAACAACAGCTTTCCAGGCCCATTAATTATCAAGAGTTTAGAGAAACGTGCCCGTGAAAAGATAATGTCAAATAACATTTAGGTCAGAATTACGTGAAATATAGCAAACAATAAAACTTCTGATTCTGAAAGCGGTTGATTAAAGGATTTGTGACACATGATTAAGCCTATTTCAGCTATTAGGCAATGGCCATTAAATCGCGTCAAGAATAAAAAATAACCCCTTAAACAGTGAAAGAGAATTTTAACCCTTTACAGTGCGACTACTGTAACTGAGGCCACTTAGACAAAGTTGACCAATCAGATTACAGGAAAACAAAAATACATAGTTGGCTGTGGGCCAGTCAGCAGCTCATAATAAAACAATAAGTTACTCGAGGCACAAAATTTAAACATTGATAGCAGACATTTTTTAATAAGGCAAAATGTTTCATCAGACAATGTTTTTCGGTTTGAGACTTTACAAATAACACCCAGGAGACATATTTGTCTGACAGACATCTCAGAATGTATTGTTACTTTCCTGTAATCCAATTGGTCAACTTTGTCTAGGTGGCCTCGGTTATAGCAGTCACACTGTAATACCTCAAGACATCAAGAGAAAAGGGTATGAGAACTGATAAAATTATTAGCAAGGGAAAACATCTTCCATACAGTGTAATGCAATTGTTAACTTCTTTTTACCTAAGGAATTGCCATGTTTGTCATCTTCAAGTTCACTCTTTGTTCGACCTAAGATTGAAAGCAATAACAATAAATATATAGATATTAACCTTGCTAAAATTAATCAACCCCATTCAACATTTTGTTGGAAGAAATTACATATTAAATATGTAGCAGTTCTAACGTGATTTTTTCAAAAATTACTTGAAAAAAAAAAAAAGACTAAAATTGGAATAGTTATGGGTAGATACCAAAGTGTCAGTCAAACAGAACAGGGTTCTCAATAGATTTTTAAGTAGGAGGTGATCACTGATAAAGTAGGAGGCTCTTCAGCAAAGCCAGAGGTGTCAAAACAAAGCAAAGAAAAGCGACTTAAACACAAAGTAAGCGGCTATAAATCCCAAAGTAAGCGGCGATTAATCGCCGGGTGCCGCCTTCTATTGAGAACCCTGAACAGAATTGCTGTTCAATGGATAACTTCAAGGGAAGTTAAATTACAGAGCTTAGTTTGTTTCATGGTAACAAGATGCCACGCACAGAGAGATTTCTGAACCAATTTGGATAAATGGGCAAATCATCATATATTTACTTTAGAAGTGCCTGAACAGACAGTCAGTTGGTCGAAAGATGGAAGATGATGATCTGACTGATCATAATCTGGTTGATTATATCTGTCTTCCTGGCAACCAGGGCTGTCGTTTTGGGCCGGGGACCAGGGAATTCCCTGGTTACTATGAAGGTGACCCCAGATTACTTTCATAAAAAATGGAAGAAAAGTAGAACCACAACAAATCCCAAGTTGTTTGATTCCCGCTTTACTTGTTGTATTTACCCAGAAACTTGAAATCTTAGCGACAGTCCTGGACAAACAATAACGAGTAATTCTGTGAATGATTAGAGGGGCTATTAAACAAACATATTACCTTGGATTTTTCATGACAATATTCTTTACTGTTCGACTTTATTATATAAATATATATCATTATCTTTTCAAAAGATTAGTTTCTCATATTTTCAGGATAGCAGCTTGTGTGGAAAGAATTGTTTTAGAGTATAACAGAATGGCTTAAGATAGTTTAAAATGACTTCAAAAGAACTACAGTGCAACCAAGAATATAGAAGTTTCTTTACGCAACAGAATGTTCATGGTACAACACAGACCTCTAAAAAACTGCAGGCCCCAAAAAAGATTATTCAGGAATTTTTGGAAGCCACACTTAAGAATGAAAGAAGGTAGAAAATTAATATATATATCAGTAATGATAGTGATTTTGGTCAAGCTTGGGTCATTAGCAGGACAATAAGGTTTTTAAAAAAGTTTTCCACAATATTAACAAGGTTGCTCTGTAGTTTATTCAACACTTTAGGTAAGTGATAGTTTTGCAATAACTTAAAATATTTACAATATTTAATACACTATTTTATCCTTAACTTTTTTTCATCATTTTCAGACAACTGATCTTTTAATTGCAAATTACTTTTTTATACAGAAGAGAGAAATATTTAAAGCACCAATTTATTTTTATCTATAACTCCACACATTTAAAAGACAGGCAAGAATTGCAAGACAGTAAGAAGTTAGCATGAAATTCATTTTAGGCATTACTTACAGTCAGAAGTGCAAGATTTGAAAGATGTAAGCGGATTAAGAGTAAGACAACCTACAAGAGAATTCATTAATCACCTTTTAAACTTGCCCTTGAGATGATGGCTGGTTGAAGTGGAAACAGGTTTTGAATGTTAGTTTTGATTTTTTTTAGAGTAGAGCCTCTCTACAATGGCCAAGGGGGAGGGGGGTAAGTGGCCATTGTAGAGAGGTAACCATTATACCGGGTGGGGGTAAGGGTGTTATGTTACACCAGTTTTGGAGGGAAAGGGAAGATAATTTTTAACACGCGCTCATAATAATAATGATTGACAAATTTTTATACAAATTTACACTGAAGTTATGAATATATGAAAATCATATGTGTGAACTGTGGAGTGAAGAATTATATGAATGAAGATCATCGCATTTTTTTTTCTTTTTTCAGGCTTTCTTTTTGCAGCTGCAAAAGTTACATAAATAACTGTGATGATCTTCATTCATATAACAAATTTACGCTATTAAAAATTTTAAAGCACTGCACTTAAAAAGAAATATTATTGGATGAATATGATCAACCGTTTGCTAAAATAGACTCACAAATAATCTCACACAAATATTTCCACATACTAAAATCCCCTCTCCTGAAAAGATATCAGTCTTTAGCGTGACAGTCAAAACTAGTGAGTTCTAGCACTTTGGCTTTCCCGAAGCATAGGGACTGTCACCAAACTTGGTTTTGTCAGGGGAAGCAGCAGGCTCCTGTTCCTTGGCTGATTATAGTTATTATGGACCACTTAACTTAAGGAGGGGTAATTCAGAGATATTAGTAGAAGGAACTTTTAATAGTGCATAGAAGCATATTGATAATAAAACACATCTTAATGTCAAAATAATTAACAATTATTGGACGAGGTTGAGAAAAATATCATGATATCTCAGTGGCAGGTTGTTCAATATTATTTTTTGCCGAAGCCGCAGGGTAAGGCTAATAATTGATCTGGGCGACACTGACAAATCACCATATGTTGTGATAACTGAGTTTAATAATTGTTTCATCAATCGTTCACCGAGTTTGTTTTTAGTGAAAATCCTCAGGAAGCGAAACAATCAGCCATTTTCACGCAAGAGTGATTGCAAGAGGGAGAAAAGCGTGGTTTCATTTACGCATGAGCAGAATATTATTTGCAGCTAAACACAGTTGGAACAACATTGCACATGAGCAGACCATTATTTGTAGGCAGTTATTTGCAGGTCTCATAGTGGGCTCTTGGCTAGTGGAAAGAAAGAAAAATTTGCATCGAATAATGATATTATTTGACAAAATTATTAACAATTCAGTATGTCACAACTGCAAAAGGGTAAACTAAGTAAAGACTTTGTTTAGCAAGGACGACTCTTATGAAATTCCAAAATTTAAATCATGTTGTCAAAATGAGATGCTAAAGCATTCATTAAAACCTACCATACAACAATGCATTATTACCCTGTTATCACCCTTTTAAAAAGTCTGTTTTAACATAGTCTATTAATGTTGAGTATTCTGTAGTTATTTCAAACTTTCTTTTTATTACAGATTCCATTTAGAGCTTAGTTTAAATTTTATGGAGCGGTTGCAATGTTCAATTTACAGACGAGAGCTCAATGATCAAACCTTTTGTATGTCAATGATTCATGTTTATAATCTGTACAGAAATAAACTTGCAATCTCACCTTGTTTTTTTCGTGATGGGTGAAGTAAGCCTCTCATTGAACGATGAGTTGTGGATGTGTCCTTGATAGAAATAAATAAAAAGGCAAAGTAGGGCAACATTGATAATAATAATTTAGTGTTATCACAGTGATTTTGTTACAAATAGTTATGGTGAGTCCTGGGACTAATATTGTGAAAAATCACGAGTCCCTATTCATAACCAATGAGTTCCAGTTGAAAAAAAAAACAGGGCTTCCTAAATTGAAAATACGTGGGCCTTTACAGTGTATGTAACCAGACAAATAAACGGGAGACAGACACCAAAACTCTTTATTACAGTTTTCTGAAATTAAAATCTAGCATAAAATAAATAAAAATACATCTTTAAACAACAGCCACAAAAATCACACGAACGGGATATTCTACAAAAAATGTTCAAATCGATCGATCCTTCTTTGCATCCTACGGGACGCATGCCCTGAATTACTTTTTGTCTTTGGGGATTTTTATGTGTCAGGGACAAAGGACACAGAGGTAACAAAATCACTGGTTATCATCAGATAATTCATCATCCAGTGGTAGTCCTAAGAGGGACCACCACTGCCAGGAAGATCCTAGCACTAGAGACGAACCAAACAAAAATTTATTGCAACTGGTTGTTCATAGGGTAATCACTGCAATAAAGGCTGACAATTTCGTTTGGTGTAAAGAACTGCCAGCTGCTGCTCAAATGTAGTTATTAACGCTAGTAAAAGTGAGCAGAAGGGCCCAAATTGCATGTTTGTTGCCTGCCATTTTCAATTCCTTCTCTACTTGGTACCCACACAGACTGAAATTTCTGCATGTACACCCAACAAAAAGTTGTTCCACCTTCTAGGACTTTCCTGTTGCCTGTACCTTCCTCTATCCAAGTAAACAGCCCCCATATTTAGTAACATTTACCATACCTCCTTAGCAATCAGTGCGTATGCAGGCCTAAGGGGCGGTGTAGGTCTGAGTCTTGTGAAATCCCAATGTCCCTTCCTCTGTGGGCTTTGAGGTACTGAGCTGAAGGCTGTCAGGTCAGTGGCAACTGAATGTGGAGTTGAAGCTGAACGGAACTTTGTCCCCTCACTAGACGACTATTATAAAGAAAAGATCTTAATCATTCAACTTGCTCTGTGAAACTGAAAGGACCTTTCACAAAATCATCCCAAATCCTACAGGGTAAGCACCTTCGCAGGAATTTTCACTAAAATATTATCAACAGGCCTAGTCTCCTAAAAAACATTGAAGACAGAATTCTTCAGGAAAATGAGTAATTTTAATTTTTAGTGGACAAAAACCTTGTACCAGAATACAAAAAAAACATGTAACATAAACAATATCACACTCTTTTTTACATTTTTCAAGGGCTATAGATGTAATCATTTATCTATAATAACACCAACGAAAATTTCTTATGGGAGCCCGAAAAAAACGAATGTCAAATTTCACAAAATGACATCTTACACATGAAATTTTCAGAATTTTACCCGTGTTTTCACAATTCTTGTGAAATTTGACATTTATTTTCTCGGGCTCCCATGAGAAATAGTCTTTGGTGTTAAAAAAGATAACTAATTATATCTATAGCCCTTGAAAAATGTAAAAAAAGAATGCAATATTGTTTAAACTATTCTGGTACAAGGTTTTTGTCCACTGTAAATTGAAATTACTCAATTTCCTGATGAATTCCCTCCTAAATGTTTGCTTATGACATGTAGCCTGCACCAGAGATGAAAGTACAGTTCCTGCTAAGACTGTCTGCCAGCCAGTGTCCAAATCCTTGTTCTTGGTCTTAGCTATGTACCAGGATTTGAGTGCAACCCATGGTTAA